TCCCCAGCTGGAGCAACACACCGCGGTGTCCACTGGCTCTGTGGGGCAGGGGGAGGACCAGGAAAAAGGACTCAAGTGATCTTTGCAGGTTTGGCATTAAATGAGATTTTGGGTTTTTTTTGAGGATTGCATGGAGTGMCCGCAGTTCATAGGACCCGCAGGCTGCCCCGCGCGTGGCTCTGGTGCAGCCCTCCCTTCCCCGGAGCAGCCCCGCGAGGAGTTGTTAAGGAAACGCATTTCCAGTTTGCCGTTTCCAGGGAGTTACTGCAAACAGCGGCGAGTCAGGACCCAGATAGCGGCCACGCACCGGGCACGGCCTCCCCGGTGCCACCTCCCTACCGCGCTGTCCCCTTCGCTCCGGCAGTGGTGGAGATGCAGGTGATGGCACTTGGTGATGGCACTTTGGCAGCTCAGTGATGATGCATCAAGGTGGCAAATGCTGCAAAACATTCACTTCGTCTCCTGCCGTGACCTTTAGCTGAAACTTCACTAGTTTTTAAGCATCCCTTGCATTTAAGGTCCTTCTCAACTGCTCTGTGATCTTAGTGGGTTATACCAGTGCGATCCCAAATGGGCTTGTGGCAACTGGGAGCATCGCTCGTGTATTAATCAAGCATAATTTGCAAGCATAAATAATAAACCTGTGAGACGATCTTTAATCCTTTSCATATGAAATATTGGGGGATTTTACCCTCTTTGGTCACCTTGTGTGAGGTTCAGCCATGTGCTGATGTCCTTTGCCTTCAAGGATCAAGACCAAAAGCTGTTCCCTGCAGGGCATTTTTCATGGGCATTTGGAAAAAAACCTTCATTCTCTTTGGAATAAGAGCCAATAACTTGGCTTTTAATGGCTTTCTAGAAAAGCAGAGAAAAAATCATTAGGAAAGCCAGGAAGAGCAGTGAGCCACTGCTGGAGAAGTCGGAGAAAGAGGCATTTCCCTCCTGTGAAATTTTATAGGAGACTCATATGCTGAAGAGTATTACTTGAGAGAAAGCGTCGCTCCATGGCTATTGAACATGGCTTTAATAATAAATTGCGGTGGAGACAAAACTGGTTAATATCCTTTGAAGGAAACAGGAGCTTTTTGTGGCAAGAAATGATTTACTTTGGATTACATAAAAACATTTTTGACTGCGGGGAGAAGTCTGGAGACCAGGGAATGAGGTTGTCCTCCAGAAGCAAAAGTTTATTTTCTGTTACAGCACATGTGGGATGTGAATTCCTCTGTCTTCCCTTTCTCTGTTATTCTCCGTTATGGTTCCTACATTTTTTTTTTTTCAGTGAAACTTTGAAGTTTCCTCAGTTCATATTGATATTTAACATGGCTCTAATTGAAATGGGCTGGCAACATTAATCTCCATGTACTGTCTGTCAGTGGCAGTGGAGAGAGGTTAATAAACCTATTGGAAGTTGTACGTTCCTCCCTTCCCTCAGGAACTGGGCTTAAGCCCTTCACAGGGAAGTGTTTAATGTGTTTTTTTGCTAAGTCAGTTTTGCTTTCTCCTGGAATAATTCTGTCTTCAAGCCTCATTTTATTCTCTGCATTGACTTCCCTGCACTGAGGTAGTCAGTGCCCTTTTTTAGGGCACACGTGTGTAGCTGTCACCGGGAAAATTGCCGTGATGTTGTAACTAATACCTTGGATTAGTGCTGTCTGCATCGTTGGGCTTTTCTGTTAAGCACTGAGCTTTCTTGAAGGTGGTGACTTCTCCAGCTCCACGCGAGGCAGTAATTGCTTTGCTAAAYGAGGATAGAGTTAAGCTTCTGCTTAAAGTCAAGGACAGCCTGAACGCTTTGCAGAATCAGAGCTTCATTCTGAAGCGGTTCCTCTGCCTTGCTCAAAGCCATTCTCTTTTCCCTCAATTATTCTGAGAACTTGCCTTTTGGAGTCGAGTGTTTATGAGAGTCTCCGTGTGGAAAATTGCAGGGACAAGCTCTAAAATGAGCTTTAGCTCGCAGGCTCGGAGACCAGAAAGCCACCAGTGGGTGGTTGTGCCAGAAATACATGGTTTTTTGGGTGCCTGGAAGCAGATGTTTGATCCCATTTGTTAATTAGCCAGGACTCGGAGCCTGGTGAAGGAGCTTCATGCTTCGTGTCCATGGGCTTGTGGTCTTGCAGACAAGGATTTGCATTAAACCCCTCCAAGCTCTGATGCTCCAGCTAGTTTAGCCAGTGAATTTAAAGCTCTTGTGAGGAACCCGTGCTGATAAGGGCACCCACATGGTGGTTTACTTTGGGATACAAAACTACAAGTAATAACGATTTGTAAAGATATGAAAGAATACAGGTTTCTTTTTTTTTTTTTTTTCTGGTGGATGGAGTAGGCAATGTCAAATTTGGAGGGTTCTTGATAAATGGAAGTGAAATGTCTCCACGCTTGGAGCTCCTGCACAAATTATCTTCCCGCTCCAAATTGCAATTTCTATGCAGTGTGTTCTTCCAAAGCCTACGTCTTCTGCGCTAAACTGGAGGCTTGTTATTTTGACAGAAAGATCCTTGCCTGGCAGTTATTATTGAGGAAGACGCATCTCGGGACTTCCAATTAAAAAGGATAATAAACCACCCCAAGCGCCAGAGCCTGCGCTGGGGGAAGCTCCTTGCAGGGAGGATGAGCACTGCTGTGCATGCACATCTGCAGCAGATGCCCGGGGTCTCCTATTGTGCCTTTCTCTTGTATTTTTTTATGCAAAGCTAATGTAGTGCTGGAAAAGGGGCAGCGTGTTCTGTATCTTCCCTGCAGGTGTGTTTGCATGTAGGTGTTGGGATTTCACACAAGGATGCAGCGAGAGCATCGTGTTGGYGCTGCAGGTGTCAATGCCAACCACTGTAATTCCAGTGTGCAATGCCTCCTGTCATGAGGCCCGTGTTTTCTTCTTATCATTGCCGTTGCTTTCTTCATTCTTGAAAAGAAAACCCCAAAGCACATGAAACTGCGCCTGTGTCTTGGCAACTCGCGGATGCGAACAGATTGTGCTTCAAAAAAATGGCAAAGCTTCAAAATATTGTATTCTGTTCAGAAGAGACAAGGAAAATAAACTCCCCAAAGTGCAGATTTTATTTCACCAGAAGGCTTTTAATATTTATTTGGGTTGGGCATTTTGCTACTTGGTTCTTCTGGTGACATCACTTGTGAACTGTGATAAGATTAACTGCGGCACAATCTGCCCTGGACCATGTTCAAATTAGGTTCATGTCCAGTGGGTTTGTTTTCACCCTGCCGAGGATGGAGTCAGGTTTTTGGAGCAAAGAGGTCACAGGGATTTCACTCCAAGATTGCCAAATAAATGGGATTTTTATCTGTTTGCCTTGCGAAGCCTTTGCTTTTGAGATTCTGGGTTTGGGTGTTTCTTTCTTCTCTTTCTTTTGGTAAAACAAGATGATATCAAGAATGCTGTTACTGATTCTATGTCCTGTGGGACACAACGTGCCCTTGTCCAGCAGCTTGGGCAGCAGCAGCAGCTCGAGCTCTGGCACAGCGGGACTTGATGCTTCGTTCTTGATTCTGCTTTTTACAGACCTTCATAATACAATTAAGGAAACAACCAGAAATAAAAGGGTCAAATGAACAGCTCTGCTAACTGTAGAGATTCCTTCACTTGTTCTTATAATTATTTTTTCTTCCCTGAAGACCAGCTTCCACCTCTTGGGAAATTTGAGAGCTATTCCTCATGCCTCTGARTAATCCCGCTTCTTTTGACTTCATATGTGGCCTGTTCTCTGGTAGACTGGAGCCTCCTTGGAGCTCCAAGAACTAGCTTTTTTCTTCCTATGTGAGTCTGCAGCACTGCAGATGGTTGATGACAAGCAAGAACACATTTGTTGTCTCCAATAAATGCTTTTCCCACGAGGTTTCAGCGGCTTGTCCCGTACCGGAGTTATTCCTTGCCAAACAGGGCGAGCGTGATCTCGTCTCCTGGAGTGTGTTGGGAAAGGGGAATATCAGTCTGAATTGATAAATTGCCTCCAAAAAGGTCATTTTCAGTCCTGGGTTCCTGCCCTTTGATCTCGCAGCCCTGCAGCACCGGGATGCGCAGGCATCATGTCAGGAGGAAAGACAAACTCACACAGGCAGAGGTGAAGTTTGAGAGAGAGTTTTGGGAGCAGCGAGTAAAAATCGTGCTTGGAAGAAAGGCAGTAATTAATACAAATTGTTAGGTTAAAAATGTTTAAAGTCTAAATTAGATGCTTGTGCTTTTTTGGGTACCACAGATTTCATTACACACCCAAACAGCCAGATGTTTACCTTGGGGTTTTGTTGACATGACTTATGTTTCAGGTTATTTTATCCACGAATTCAAAACCCCGTGCTGAAATGTGGCTGTATATGTTTAGTCATAAAAAGGTTCTTGTATTTCTCTAGTCTGCTGGCTCTTGCATCTGCCGACTTGGACCCCATTTACAGGAGAGGCTGCATTTGAACCGCCCCGGCATTTGAGCGTTATCCAGCTCAGAAAAGCTTGGCTGGTCAATGCGAACAGAAACCGATGGTTTTGAAACCTGAAAACTCAATTCTGCCTTATTTTTGGTGCGTTTGCTCAGCTTTAATGACCAAGGTAGAATGGCAGTTTAAACAGAATCTGGTTCTGGATTTTCAGATTCCATTCTAAAGGATTTAAAATCCTGCCAGGGTTCACACTTGCGTATCTGGAATGGTTTAAAACCTGTCTAAGGAGCAGTCTGAGGGATCCTACGTGGGCAGAGCTGATGAAGGAGAAATACCTTCCTGCTTGCATCTCGTCTTTGCGGGAGCTCCTGCCTGTTTTCTGTACCGGGTTGGCAGCCGGCACTTGTGGCTCCAAGCGGAGCCCTGCCGAACAAAGACACTTTATGCTTTGAACTCTGTGCCCTGAGTCTACACCACTAGCCCGGCCTGGCATTTATGTTAAATAAGGTCAACAAATATAGGCAAGCTCTATTTTGCAAATTAAAACCAAGAAAAAAAAAAAAAAAAAGCTTTTTTTGGGAAATAAAAAAGTCTGACTCTTTCTCGTTTCGCAGGCAAGAAGAGAAACCCTGGGCTGAAAATTCCTAAGGAAGCCTTTGAGCAACCACAGACAAGCTCCACGTAAGTCTCCAAAGGCCAAAGGGAGAATAAGGAGCAAAACCAGGAGCCCGGCTGCCTTCCCGAGGTTGCCACCGTTGTGGCCACGGTGGCCGCACGCTGGCCGAGCTGTGTCCCGCCTAGAGATGTGTCAGGCAAGGCTCAGCTTAAGTCTGCGATGCTCTGCTTAAGCCTGGCCGTGAGCAGTTGCAGGGTTATGAATCCATACGCTCCTGGACACATGAGCGTGGAGGCCAGCGTTGAAACCAGGCAGATGTGTCCGGGCTGGAGCGCTCAGCGTGCCCGAGGAGCCTTCGTCTTCTCTGGGGTCAATCCTCCTGTGTCCGGGGCTGGAGCAGGAGAGATCCCTGTCCCGCCAAAAACTGTATTCCAAAGGAAAAACAGCGCTACATCTGCCACGGCCTGTTAAGAAACAATTATAGAGACAATTGCAAAGCAAAGTGTAGGACTTAAATTAATCTCTTTTCCTTAAACTTAGATGCTTTTGAAAGCTATTSCCATATCTTACACACACACGTGAAAAAAAAAGAGGAAATGGTTTGTTTTTTGACCTCTAATCCATTTTTCATACAGGCTAACAGAGGTTGGATTCTYTCCACCTCACTTTGCTTCCATAGGAAGGCTCTCAGCCCGTTGGAAGCACTAATCTCGCTGCGTCCCTTCGCGTGGGACTTGGATGCAGATGTGTGAAATTCCAGCCCCAGCAGCTTCCTTCCCTTCTCACCCCGTCCTGGGGGGACATTGCGAATCTTGGCAGCGTCTGCCCATCCTGCAAGGCCAGGAGACCTGCTGGTGTGAGGGGACAACCCCAGGGACCCTGCGGCCGTGGAAGTTACTCCATCCTGAAGCAGTTCACATATTTTCCCCTTTTCTCCCCCACAGGCCACCCAGAGATCTGGACTCCAAAGCCTGCATCTCCATTGGCGAGGAGGTAAGGTTAGGAGGTGTGGTGAGCAGAAGGCTCTTGGGAGAAGGTGGCCCTCCTTGCCTAGCTGCTGTGGCACTGGGTGCTTCTCCAGATGGGCTGCTCGGACGCTTGCTTCCCAGCTAGTTTGGGGTAAAAAGGAGCAGGTTCATAAACACCGTCTGTGAAATGTGTTGTATTTTGCATGAAATGAGTTGGGGGGTGCTCAGCTAGTGCATTAGAGGGTGCTGGATCTTCTGCCAGTTTGGGGAATCTAGATGGAAGAGACCAGCACGTAAGCAAATCCTCCAGTGAAGAAGGAGGATTTCACTCCTTCTTCCACTCACCCCTTGCATTTCCATACAGGACCCTGGGATCCCTTATGGGTGTCCCCCTCATTCACAGTGACAGCTCATTGCGCAGCTTTTCTAAACCAAAATGAAGCCCAGCTCACGTGTTCCCAATACCTCATGGTTATAACCCAAGATCACATGCTGTTTTCAAAGAGCTTTGGCTTCATCTCCTTCAGGGTATCTGTACGGGGGAAAGGTTCCCTAAATCTTTCTGCAGCCACTGAGATTGCTGGAATTGCTCGAACACAGCATTGCATTTGGTGCCTATGCGTGTATAGCCTTCATTTAAATTTTTTTGTACTTGAAAAACAGGCACTCTGTTCATCTAGGGGAAAAAAACAGACATTTTTGCCCTCCTTTTTGCTCAAACAACAAAAAACTGGTGAGAATACAGGTAAATCTGAGCTTTGGAAATTCCTCCCTTGCCTTAACAATGTGCAGCTAGTCCCCTGGAAACATCAGCTACAAAGCAACAGGATTGCAAACGGCAGATTTGACTTTCCTTTTCAATTCCTTTGCTAATTTAAAGCCTTCGTGCAAAGTATTTCCCCTTGCTAATGTTGAAGGCCGCCTCATCAGGAGTCTAAGGCAGGTTGGCTCTTCCTGTCCTGGAAGCAAAAGTCTGTAGCAGCATGGAAACCATTCCCTCTGATGGTATAAAATTACAGCAGAAAAAAAAAAAAAACCCAGAGAGAGCCATTGTGATAGGAGAAAATGGCATGGCAGCATTCATAAAAGCACATTAAAGCTAGGCAATAAATTTATTAGGTGCAAAAGATAGGCCCCGGTGTCAGGGAGCTAATTTATGAAGTGAAACACGAACCCGGTGGCATTTCAGAATTTCTATCTTTGGATGCTTTTCCTTCATTTGGGAGTTTGTATTTTCCCTGGCATAGAGCAGAGGCTGGCAGGTGGACAGAGCGCAAGATGCCGCCGGAACGAAGTGGCCTGGAGTGCGGTGACGAGAGCGGTGTCTTCCAAGAAAATCACCTCTCCCGCCGCGGTGCCCAGGACAAGGAGGAGCTGGAGGCTCCAGAGAGGCTCCGTGCGGAGGCAGAGAGCCCGTGCTGGGTGGTCGAATGTGGCACATAGCCCTGGAGCTCTGGCCTCTTTGGAGAGGCAGCATCTTGCATGGCTTGAATTTCCCACGGACCCACTATGTGCTCGGCCAGAGATCCGAGTATCTTCTCCACGAGCCTTTGCAAACGTATCCTGGATCCCTCCAGAAAGCCTCTTCCCCCTTCTCTGTTCYGTTTTGCTGCTGAATTTAAGAAATCCCGCACGAATCCATGGCATGAGCTGGCGCGCCGTGACTCGGCTCGTTCTACCCCACGTTGCTCTGCTGGGCGAAGGGCTTGGGCGCTTGTGTGCTCAGCAAACAGCATGGCCCATTTCTAGGAGTGAAAGCACCTCTGAAATGTCCAAAACCAACAATAATAAGCACAAAACAGAGCCGCCGCACAGTGTCGTGGTGGCAGGAGAAGGGCAGGTTGGGGCGCAGGGCGCCGAACAAAGTTATCCTTTGGGCAAGGCCAGGAGAAAGGGATGGCRAATGTGAGACAGAATAAATGTTTTGTGGTTTCAAAATGGGGCACGCTCGGCCGGTGTTTGGCCCATCTACAGGGCTGGTGAAATAAGCTTTTCCAGGCCTGTAAACCGCTTGGAGGTATTTCCATGCTTGTTTTGGGGAGGAGGACAGAAGGCAAAAAAAAAAAAGGAAAAAAAAGAAGAAAAAAGGAAGAAAAATAAAAAGACCGAAGAGGATTTGTAAGGGAAACCCTCCTGTCTCTAATGTTTTTCTCCCCCGCAGAACTTTGAGGTGAAAGCCGACGACCTGGAGCCCATCTCCGAGCTGGGACGAGGTGCGTACGGGGTGGTGGAGAAGATGCGGCACATGCCGAGCGGGCAGATCATGGCCGTGAAGGTAGAGTGAAGCCTCCCGAGGTGCCTTCTGTGTGTGTCGTTGTGTGGGGACGCCCCTGAGCGCTCGGTCGGGCTCCTCTCTAACCTTGCTTCTTCTCACGCATGCCTTTACTGGGGATGACCTCTTCCATCCTCTCTYTGCACAGGGGCCATGAGGACGAGGTAGAGTTGGACCCCGTTTAACCAAAAAAAGAGATATATTTGAAAACTGTGTCACATAACATCCTTTTAGCACTATACAGACATACCGTCCATCTATATAACATTTCCATTTCCAGTAGAGTTTTAAAAGCTATTTGTCTTTATTTTAAATATGCACACTTTCTTCTAGGGTAGTGTACCTTCAGATTCAGGGCTCTGCATGACAGGAATGATTGTAATTGTAACAGCGTGCTGTAAGTCGGGTTGCATAATGTAATATTCTTCAGCTGGGACTTTTCTTGACTCTTTGGAATAGGAACTTCTTTTTTCTTGTTGGGCTTTTTGCATAATGTCTGGTGCAGGAGGGTCATGGCAGAGGTTTGTAGATGCTGTTATGAAAAATAATACTTTTGTTTCATAAGCTTGCAGTTTAAGAAAATAGTCATGTGAGGATGCGTGTTTTGGGAGGGGCTATTTTTGCAGAGCCAAATTTTAGCTCAAATTTCTACCCAGAAGAAAAAAAAAAAGTGAGAAATGATGAAGAGCTGAAAGTTATGGGCAAACTGAAGTTGTAGATCCTCAGGTTGTGACGTGCAGGGGATGTGTCTCAGGGCCTTCATGTCATGCGTTTTGTCTTCTTTTTTGCTGTGGTGTTCACCAAAATGCAAAAGTCCTTTTCAAGGAGAGTGGCAGGGGTGAAGAGGGATTGGCAGGAACATTCAAGTCTGTTGAATGTTCCCTGTTCAAGTTGAATGTTCAAGTCCCTGGAAGTCATGGGTTTCCCACAGCCCAGAATTTGATATCCTGCTCCATCCTTCTCCCCCAAACCTCAGATACCTTTAGCTGTTGCAAAAAAGTGGCATTAGCAGGGAACATAAGATTGCCTGCAACATGGGGTAATACTGACCCTTCTCCATCTTCCTGTGTTCCCACTGTGCATGGTGAGTGTCCTATGGAGCATCCTATGGAGATGCTGATGACCAATGCTGCAATGCTTTGTGTTCCAGCGAATCCGAGCCACGGTGAACAGCCAGGAGCAGAAGAGGTTACTGATGGATCTGGATATCTCCATGAGGACGGTAGACTGCCCCTTCACTGTCACCTTCTATGGGGCACTTTTCCGAGAGGTATGGCATTCCAGAGACCCCCTGCCCTGCTTGTAGTCTGTGGACGTGAGAGGCTTGTCATGGGCACTACTAGAAMAGAGAAGACTGGGCTCTAGCAAAAGTCCCTTTCAATTCTTTCTGTCTGGGAGGTTGGATCCATCCAGGGCTCTGAGCTGGACTCCCTCCCTGCCAGGGTTTTAATCTACCTGTAGACATGAAGACTTGGTAGAATTTGGATTTGCTGAGTTTCTGCCTCTGTTACTTAGGGCCATTTCTTGTGCAAGGAGAGGCATGTTCCCACGCAAGGAGGAGCAGAGGGCACATGAGGGCTGTGRAAGGGCCGTTGTGCCGGGACACTTGGGCTTGGTCGGGGGTTTGACTGACGGGGACAACCGGGTGTTGAGAGCATTGACTCACAGTGTGATCCCTCAGTGCTAATATTGTCCTGACTTGCGATGAGAAAGCCACATGGAGGAGAAGCTCTGAAGATTTAATGAAGAATTTAAGCATAGCTTCTGCGGAGCTGAGTCTTCCCTTGCTCAGTGTTTGTGGAGTGGCCTGAGCACTTAGGAATCCCATTAACTTTCAGAACTCCTGAACTGGGAGGACTCTGCTTTGGGGAGAGATGGCACCAATTTTACCCCAAGTGTTAGTGAAGGTGGACAACAGTTACTTAAGGTTGTGGAGAGAAAAGATAAGCACAATGGAGTTTTGCTGAATGACTTCTGAAAGACAGGGAAGAGACAGGGAACAGGCCAGCAAGAGGCAAGTGCCAACGAAGACCTGTGCCCATGAACGGGAAGGATGATCCATTCCAGTGTGCACATATTTACCCTCTTTCTCCCCCAGGGAGATGTGTGGATTTGCATGGARCTGATGGATACCTCACTGGACAAATTCTACAAGCATGTCATTGACAAAGGCCTGACGATTCCTGAAGACATCTTAGGGAAAATAGCCGTCTCTGTGAGTATTAGCAAGGGATGAGGGAAGGGGAAGGGAAATTCTTCTCTAAGCCACGTCCTTCATGACTCTCCATCCCAGTCATCTTTGCGTTGGGAAGATTGTGGCCCACCATTCAGCACATATGTACATCCCTAGGTAGCTTCCAGTATTTGGTCAGAAATGATGTTCCTTATAAGCCATAAATAAAGTTGTTCCAGGATATATTGTAGTTTAGAGGCAGCACAGCGTTGGCTATGGAGAGGGCTCTACAGCTGGTTTGCCCTCTCCTGATAGTCTTGGGAGATCCTTGGGTCCCCAGCGTCACCTCTGGCTGCCACGTGATGGAGGGATTAGTGGGCAGTGAAGGCAAGGGGCATTTTCTTCCCATCATGGTTTTGCCAGCTCTAACTCACTCTCCACTTGCTGTTGCAGATCGTAAAAGCACTAGAACACCTACACAGTAAGCTCTCCGTGATCCACAGAGGTGAGTGCCATCCGCGCGGCTGGTGACGGTGCTGGCTTCTGCCAGCCCTGTGCCAGGTGCCCTTTCCCCTCCCCAGACAAGGTGCTCCCAAGGTAGCCAGGATAAAGTGGGGCTTTGACAGCAAAATGTTCCCTCACATCTCAGGATTAGCAAAGCCTAGTTAGAGGAAGTGTCTGATTTGCTCTTTGGAAACTCCATGCTCTCCCCAGTGTTTCCCGCTGCGTGGGAGAAGTGGCCTCCAGCCTGTCCCTGCTGGCAGAGAGAAAGGGCTTCTTCCTGCAGCCTGGCTGCATTCCCTTGGAGTGCATTTCCCTAATCAGAAGGGCTAATCCATGCTGTGCTTGAACACCTCCAGAGTATTAATAAAAGACTTTCTCTCTGACCTTGGTGAGCTTTGGATGAGAAGCTTGCAGGCTTCTACCTGCAAGAAGGCAAGGTAGAAGATGGCAAGGGAAGATGCAGGTGAGCAGTGTTTCCACACGGGCATGGTCACTCATGCAGTCAGCAAACCAGTCACCATCCCCTTGGCATCCATCCATTGATACCTACCCATGGGGCAGAAGGGGTAGGTGTCTAAAATGGCATCAAGTGAACTTGGGAATACCCTCCTGAGACTCTTTTTGGCATTTCCCTGCTTAGAGCGTCTCAAAGATGTCATGAACATACTTAGAAAGAAAAAGGAAATTGCCATGTTGCTGCTTGACACCTTTATTTTTAAAGGATCATTTTCAATTTGTCATGAGGAAGAAAAAGGCCTCTCTGGAGTGTGTGACTGCTGGGGAAAGAACGGGTTGAAGTGAAAAGAGTTCAGCTGTAACAGGCGGCCACATTTTGTACATTATGCATGGGGCTGGGGGTTGAGTTCCTGCCTTCTATATAATTTAAAGTGGGTGGAAAATGCTGCTCAGCTTCTGGATTTCTGTTTGCTTGTTTGCTTTCCACTGAAATAGGTACTATTTTAACATAGTAACAGATGGGTGAGGATCTCAGATACCTGAAGCTTTTGGTTGCAGAGCGTTGATTGGAGGGAGGGTGTTAAGGAACTGCAAACCACTCAGTTCTAATGGGCAGGACTCCAAAGCGGCTTGTGGCCACCTTCAGACAGTGTTTCAGCTCTTCTCTTTAATAGTTTATCATATGTAAATAGAGGCCCTGCTCCTGTCGATCTCTCCTGTAGATCCTCCTCTCTCTTGCCAGGCCTTCACTTCCCCCTTTGATGGTGATCATAACTGGTTTCATGAGAAAGGTGCAAACGCAAATAGAATGTAAGGCTGTAATGGGAAGCAGATAAATCTGACAGTAATAGATGAGACATTGACCTAATTTCCATAGGATGTGGAGCACCCACATGCCTGCTGGTGTTCCCGTTGCCTTCATGTACGATACCCTTAAAATCAGAGGCCACTTCTGAAGCTGCAATCCTTCTGTCTTAGCTTACTGCTCCCTGGGACACACACTCCTCTTCCCACTTTTCTGCCCACTCCTTTTCCCCAAATGTTTTTCCTTATGCTGCCTTGAGAGCAGCTCCAGCTGGTGACTCAGCAGTGAGCTGGACTTCTGTAGACGTGTTTAGGAGATGCTCTCAGCCCTGCTGAGGTTGCTTCTCCCAACCCCTGCTTGCTATCATGAGGTGGCCACATGCACTGCTTTGGCTCATGCAGCCCCATGAGAAGGGAAGGGACGTTTCCAGGATGCATGACAGGCCCATGAAGCACTTGTTTTGCTTGTAATAGCTCCTGGCTTTCCCGCGAGCAGTAGCCATGGGGTTTGCACAGGCACCAGGGGTGCCCTCTAGTGATAGGAAGCTCGTTAATTCTTTGGCTTTAGCACAGCCACCCACGCGTGACAGTGACTGTGGTATGTGTTCCTTCTTGCAGATGTAAAGCCCTCTAACGTGTTGATCAATACGCAGGGGCAGGTGAAAATGTGCGATTTTGGAATTAGCGGTTACCTCGTTGACTCGGTTGCTAAAACCATGGACGCGGGATGCAAACCCTACATGGCTGTAAGTTGAGCCGGGGAGAAGCCGGGTGGGAAACCTGCTGCAGCCRGAGGAATATGAGACTGGGCATCAGGTTGTCCTAAAGGGGAAGGATCAGCATCTGGCATGGGTCCTAGGCACTCGATTTGGAAGGCGTATCTCTGAAGTTATATGTAAAGGGGAATAGAGGAGACAGGTCTCCCAGGTCGAATCAGGTCTCCTGGGCACTGCTTCCTGCTCCTTTACCACCTCTGTGACCTTGAGAGGGCCCTGTAATTACTCCGTGTTGTATTTTTGCCATTTGCCCTATGGGGACAATGAGACTTGCTTCCTGGGAGAAGAAAAACAGTCCTTAGAGAATGGGCCCTTCAAGCTCCTCCGTGGGAGCTGCTGCTCGTGCCTTGTTCTCTGGGGAGACATTTCGGAGAGGGGAAGCAGTTAGGGAGAACTGAGGTCTATCACCTCTGCATGTGCCAGGGCTCCAGCACCTCTGGGGCAGAAATCRTCAGCTTCTGGCGACTCGTTTCTCTATCTGCCCAAACTGGCGAGGACGTACCRCAGGATTTGGCTCCAAGGTGGCCAAGGGAGCAAACTGAGTGACCTCGGTTGGGTGGTCCTGGCCTGTCACCCTTAAARGATCTGCCTTAGTTTGGCTGCTGTTCCAGGACGTGGTGGTTCCCGCTGGAGAGCCCTGGGTTAGGCAGTGCTGAACTGGAACCATTCACRATTTTCCAACTCTCTTTTTCTCTCTTTTTAGCCGGAAAGAATTAATCCAGAGCTGAACCAGAAGGGATACAGTGTCAAATCTGATATCTGGAGCCTGGGAATCACCATGGTAGGGTGATTGGAGGGTTGAATGTTCTTTGTGAGATCATTTTCTTCCCCATGGTCCTCCTGACACTTGTTCCCTGGGAGGCCGGCGGGGGCAGGAATGGGAATTGTCAGTTTGTACCGTTCACCCCTTGTATGTTGCCAAATAATTGGCAGCTTTTTGGCCAGCTCCTTGCTAGTAGCTTCACCACCGTAATACCTCCAAACTGAGCTCAAGCTCCTTCACGGGGTGACATGGAGAGGACACATAGAGGACATACAGGCTGTATGGAGGCTATACATAACCTTCCAGAGGATCCTGCCGAGCACGTGGCTCCACTGCACGTGCTCCTTGGCAAGCTAATGCCATCTTCCATTGCAGAGAGACAGGAAGAAAGAGAAAGAGAAATTGGAAGCGGGAAAAGGCRATGGGGCCATGCCAGCATCCAGCTTGGAGAGTGCGAGGCCATGGGCTGCCACCTCTCCTTGCACTTGCCCCTTTCCTGCTYGGGATGCTGGGGCCAGCCGTGGCCGCGGGCTGCCGGGAGGTGGCAGCATGGGCTAAGGCAAGGGCGCGTGTCCAGCACCGCGCGGCTGCCGTCTGGGAGCAGGTCTGGTTTCCAAGGAGGGAAAAAAGCCTGTAGCAATTAGCACAATCTGCCTCTGGAAAGCAGGGAGCGATGGCATCTCCCAAACGTCAGGAGAACTGATGTTTAGTGGGAATCCATCTGCTTGCAAGTCATTTGCTAGGGCTGCTATCTTTACAAGCTTTTGTTTTTCTTTAATTTCTCTCTTAAGTGAAGTCTAATATAAGAGTAGCAGAGAGACAGGTCCTACTGGACCTCCTTAGGCCTTTCCCTTTTGGTGGGAAAGATTAAACACAACCATGGGCAAGGAAAGAGTTCCCGAAAGAAAGTTGTGGCCACGTGGGATGGGGAACTGCCCGTGTATTCACACAGGACTGGGACAAGAGCATGTGTAGGTAGCCTGAACTGAGTCCTGGAGAGCCCRTGTGAGGAGCCGTCTTAAGTTGACTGGAGGAGTTGCCCAAGGGAACCAGTGTGGCCRAGGAGTTGGGCAGGGGGACAAGGACAATGTGGTGTCTGCAGCATGTGTGTGACYCCGCTGTGTCCTGCAGATCGAGCTGGCCATCCTGCGCTTCCCCTACGACTCCTGGGGGACGCCCTTCCAGCAGCTCAAGCAGGTGGTGGAGGAGCCGTCACCGCAGCTACCGGCGGACAAGTTCTCGGCGGAGTTCGTCGACTTTACCTCGCAATGGTAGGTCCTGTYGCCTCGCGGGTCAGGGTGCGATGGTGGCTGCTCCCTCCGCCTGCCCTGTGCAGGTGTTTGGATTTTCCAGGAGCTGCCACTTGCTCCACTTGCTCCTTGCCAAGCTGGCAGGTGGTTGGCACCACAGTCAAGACACTGAACAAGGTCGCATCAACGCACATTTTGAGATCACTTAACACGAGTGCCCAGCTTAGGCTAGCACAGGTTCAGGAGGCTTCAGAGAGAACATCTGCTGTCCAGAGCAGCAAAACTCCCATTGCCTATAGCCCATGTGGGGAAGTTCCTGTGATGTCCCAGCTGGCATCAGGAATAAGTAATCCAAATATGGCTCTCCAGTTCCTGGAGATTTGCATTGATTTCAGTAACTTGTCATCAAATTTCCYGGTATCAGTACCCTGGGAGCCAAATTTTTGTTTGTAGAGGGTCTAAATTAAGAGGATTATCCCCACATTCGAAGTTCACCTTAGCACCTCGTTCTGGGCTGCTTTCAGCTCAGAGGATGTGACACATCCCGTATCTTCAATTAGGCAATATTGGCACGTCTCGTTACTAGGTTCCTCTGTTCATTCACAACATGACACTAAACACGAGCTAGCTCCACACAGCCAGCAGGAAATATCTATTCAGTGTGTGTCCTCCGCTTCCTCCGGCCTCCGGCAAATCCCAGCAGAGCACCGCCTTATCATCACCGAGGTTCTCACTTTTGTTTTGCTCAGTGTGACACCTTTTCCCCACCACCGACGTGTACGTGTGTGAAGATCTTTTCAAGTTGCTCCAAGTGTCTTTCCCCTAAATACACAGCCAGGAAGTGAGTAGAGATTACGTCCTGTCTTTTAAAAGCTATTTTCTGCTGGAGGGAAACCAAAATAACTCCCAGCTACAACCCTCCAGAGCCATCTGTTGTAGAAGAGGAGAAAAAAAGGATGTCCCATGTAACCGTCCCTGCTGATAACAACGCTGTGATAAACAAACAGTTGTACACGTGCTTCAGAGCCACTCGGTTACCACTCCCAACTGGAGGCTGGAGGCTCTATCCACTTCCTTAGTCCCCGTTTTAGCGGTCCGGGCCCAAAGGACCAATTATACCAGTTCCTCAGCAACGTTCAATGTATTGACTTATGTGTATGGTGTCTCCGGATCTGGCTTTGACCTTGAGCTCGCTGCACTTGTCGTACCCAGCACCAGGAATGTGTGCAAGCTGTTGGCCTAGAGCTGTTGATCTAATAAACGGAGTGGTTGGACTTACTATAAATGCACTTGAAATCTTTTGGAGAGATATATTTGTATGGCCTTGCTTAAATTGCATACAGAACGTAAGGTTTCTTTTCCCTTTTTCTTTTTTTTCCATTAAAGCTTGAAGAAGAATTCCAAAGAACGGCCAACATACCCAGAGCTTATGGTGAGTGTGTATTAAGCAGTGCACTGGTTGAAGAGCTTAGACACTATTAAATGCTGAAGCCAGGATTTCCAGTTGTGCTGTGTCTGGGGATTTGGGATAGTCAGCATCTTGATGTTCATAAAGATTTGGGAATCGTGTTGACACGGTGCCTTGAAGAGGAGAGTTTTTGGACAGAGTGACTTCTGGATTCCAGGGACAGAGTCTAGGCTGTGCCTAATAACTCCGGGTTTYGAATTTCATCTGCTGCTTAGAGGTTGTTTGCTGTGAGTGTGGCTAGGACAGAGGAGTAACAAAGAGGAAGACAACACTGATATATGCTTACACTTGATATGTCGGTATTTGGTTCCCATAAGCATCTGTTCCCTTTTTCTTTGTCACTTGATTCATAGCTTGTTAAAGGCAGAAAAGTGWCTAGCATAGTTACTTCTGGAGGTCTTGACCCAAATGCTTCATCTGTGCCTTATGTCCACTCTGTCCTTGGTGTCTGGACCAAGGGTGGACACGTTTGTAGAATCTGCTCAAGCATTAGTGTCTTCAGTTACTCATGACAAATGAGTTTTGCCATCCAGGGATCTCCCTCACACTACCCATGTCATGACACCTTCTGCTTGGAGGTGCTGGGACATGTATGGCATGAAGATGCCGGGTTTGAAATGCTCTTCAGGTACTAGATGTCCTGGAAATCCATGCACCTTTTAAAAATGAAGTGTAACCAATGAATAATTCCTGTGGCATTTCTTCCTGGGCTCTGTAATGCAATTAGGCTATATATAGATCTGATTTACGCATGGTTTGCTCAAACGTTGGTTTCAGACAAAGGGAGGCCCAAGGTTTATTCCTTTTTTCCTTTTTTTTTTTTTTATTGAATAAATACATATATATTTTAAGCAAATCTATAAAGTTTGCCAAATGGCCTTTTATCAAAAAAGTTCACCAGAGCAGCTCTGTCTGTTGCAGCATTAATACTGGTTGGCAGGCGAGTGCATTTCTATTGAATTAGGTTCTTGGATCACCTCTCCAGAGTATCTCAATGCTGTGGTATTTTATGGCTGACATAAATGTTGTGAGGTCCTGTGGCTGTGGGTTGGTGTTTTGTTTTGTTTTGTTTTTTCTACTCCCTCCTCTCTCTCTCTTATGGCATTAAATTGCGGTACCGGATTGGACTTGTCATTTAGACCAAGACTGCTCCCTTGCTTTCCTGCGGAATTGAGGTTTCTCATGGAAAATATGACTCAGTGCTATCTTAAGCATCAGGAAAATTGATACGGATGCTTAATTTCATTTTAAAACCCACTTCCCCAGGTGAAGTGGACCGTGAAACTACTGCAGGGCTCCTCCCTTGGTGGTCAGGGAGTCGCCTTGGGTTGACTCGGCTGCAGGGTGTCTTGACCGGGTGGTTGCACAGGGCTCGGGTTGGGAGACATGGCACGGTGCTGGCCCGTCTTTAACTCAAGCAGTGCAGCTGTGAATGTGCTGCTGTGGGGGGACCTGTGGAAACCTCTGCAAACCCCCAAATGCCTTTAAAAATGTGGTTTGTACGTGGAGATATATCGAACCCCTGGACAGATGTATGGGAAGCACAAAGTCACCTAGCACAAGCCAGGAGGAGTCCACTCGCCCAAGCTCTACAGTACCCTGGCACCTCTCGGTCACCTCTGATACGCTGGGACTCATATCCCTCCCTGAACCCTTTGGGCTCAGCCCTCAATACCAGAAAAAGTGAATAACTGTGTATTAAATGCTGAGGTGGCAGGTGCCGGCCCTAGCAGCAAGGGGTTGCTGTGCTGGGATGGGGTTTGCTGCTGTTTTCGCTCCTTGCACGTATTTTCCCGTTCGCGCTGAGATGCAGGCGAGGTTTCTCCGGCAGGATGTCTTCCCACGCTGGCCGCGATGAAGCAGTTAAACACAGAGCGTGCCGCGCTGTGTTTCCCTCCGCGGCCGCGAGGAGCGAAGCAGCCGTCTCCTGCCGGGAGCATGAGCAATCCYGGGGGAGAAACGCGGCTCGGGAGTCACCGGAGGGTAAAGGCGCAGCTCGAGCYGGATACGGAGCGAAAAGGCGCCGCATCAGCCTTCCTGCGCGTGCTGCTGTGCGGCGGGCAGCACGTCTACCTCGGGGAGAGGATGCAGGCGGGGACCCTCAGAAAGCCCCACATTAGCAAAAACACTATTTTTCGCTGTCTAGGAGATGGGCTGAAAAGTCATGAGCTCTGGTCCTTTGAATTGCAAGTAATAAATTTTAAAACATTTTTCTTTTTTTTCCCCCCCCCTCTCTCTTCTTTTCTTTCCCAGCAACATCCTTTCTTCACCCTGCACGAATCCAAAGAGACAGACGTCGCCTCTTTTGTCAAGCTCATCCTGGGAGACTGAGAACTGGACCCTTGTAAATGAATTGCCCTTCTGTGGACTGGTGGGTGCCGGGGAGGGGCGCGTGGCCGGACTCGCCAGGAGAGCCCCAACCGAGAGCCACCGGGTTTTGTTTTGTTTTGTTTTTATTCTGAGAAACCCTCGCCTCGCCGAAGTTTTTAAAAGGGTTCTTTGGTATCCATAGTGACATAGAACGAGCTGGTTAGTGAAATGAATTTTAATGAGATTGGTAACCGTAAAACAATCGCGAAGCAACAACGGCAACGACAAAAATTTTTAAGAGTGATTTACGTATTTAATGACATTCGGGATCCCTCTTTCCTCACTTGCTCCTCATTCCCCGTCCCTTCCTCCTGAACCGGAATTTGCTTTGTCATGGTAATAGGTGCTATGGTAGTCATGAAGTTGTATGTAGATTTATATTTTGTCCCTTCCATTATTTTAATATTTATGTTAAGTGCTCGACGGAATAGATTTCTGTTTTATGTGAGGATGAATGCGTGGTGATGATGATAATGCCAAATGAGGCCACAGAAGGGGATAATTGCAGGGCTTTGCTGGCGAGAAGGTGTCGCAGGAAAGGAGGAAGAAGAGAGGAAGTGCCTGTGTGGTGGGAAGTATTTAATGTGCATGGTAAAAAAGAGTTTAGAATCAAGGATCTCGATTTGGCTCCTTTGCGGGGGCCGGGAGGAAGGTGGAGCTGGTGGGTTCCTGCCCGTGGTTATATCTGTGCTCCGGTCGTGGTGACAGCCCCCTTGCCCTCGCTCCCAGACTGTTCCTCTTGTTGGAGGCTTTCCCCTACAACCTGCTGCTCTGACTCCCTCTGTGTCTTTTCCGTAATAGGGGAAGAGAAGTCCTCGGAGAAGGTCGGGGCAAGGAGATGGGCTTGCAGGAGCCCCTGGTCATCCTGCTGCGAACGGGCACAAGTGTATTCAGGCTCTGAAGAAAGCAGTTTGCAAAGCCGGGGTCTGCCCGTGGGGCTGTCTCTAAATGCAGACACTCGGGGCCARATCCCAACCTTCACCATCAAGGTGGATGCTCAGCAGGACAAAGTCCAGCCCAGGGTCCAACCCTTTGCCACCCACGAGAGCAGGGCTGGTGTTGCAGGCTGGGCTCCTAGGCTGTTGTGGGTGAAATCCAGGGATTTTTCGCCTCGTGGTGTAATGCTGAAGGACCTTGCGGGATTCCCGACCACTCCTGTCCCCTCCTGGGCTGGGTGCACGTGTCCGGTTCCGCTCGCTCTCCTGTCGGCGCAGGGTCCTCGTGATTCCTCATCCTCATCCTCAGCTGCCGCGCAGAGTCCGGCCAGCCGCTCTGGGGAGCTGCTTCCAGCATCAATTCTCCCTTTGAAAAACATGACATTTAAAACCACCCTTTGGTTTTCCTACATATGGATCTGATGCTTCTCGTTAAAGATTGTTTTTGCTGCTTTTCTCCTGGAATATAAATCTCCTTTGGACACTGCATCTCCTTGACCTCAAAGCACCTTTATTTCAGTGCCACTCTAATTGACGGGCTGAATTTATGCGATACTGTCAGAGTTCAATATTAATAGCAGATATTAATGTCACCAGYGTTTTCCAATAGAAAATTAATGTCAGTGTTGTCTGCAGCTAGTATCCCTCTGCTACAAGGATTCCTGCATGCCTCGACACTACATGCTGAGTGCTTTGCTTTCATGCTTTTTGCTCTTGCCGGGCTTGGGTCGCCTCATCCCTTTGTTTTTATGACATTATTACAATGGGACATGCAAGAAAATAACTTCCCTCCCGGTCCTCCAYGACTTTGTTCCTTGAAAAGTCATTTGCGCCAGCACAAGTGGATCTGGGTGACCAGTGTGACTTAGAAAAGTGGTCTAAGTGATCACTGCTTGCACCGACCCTGGTTTTTCTTGGACACTTGAGCAGGTGGAGAGATAAAACTTCATGTCCTTGGCGGCTCTGAAAATGTGCCGGGCTTCAAGACAGGGATCTGCTCCTTGGCTCTTTCATTCAKTTGAAACCTCTACTCAGAGCTGAGCCCAGAGCTGTGGCCTCAAYGTGATGCTCGTGCCCTCTTCTCTGCCTTATTCCTGCAGGGAGCTGGTGCAAATGCCTCACGGCTCCCGATGCTGCTGGGCTCTTGAGGTCTTACCATCACTAGCTTGTGCTCTCTGACTGTGGTTCTCCTGCAGATCGGCTGTGGAAAACCCATTTCTGGACTCCCCACAGGTCTCTAAGACTTCACCGAGAAGTTGGAGAGCATTGTTGGTCACTTTGTTGGTCTACGTGTTGGGTTCATGTTGCTGCCATGGGTGACTTGCCCATCTCCTCTGGAGATTTTCCAGGTGGACAAGACTTCACATGGATATCTATGTACTGTATTTCTGCCTTCCTTCCTGGMTTCTGCTCTGCTTATGAGCTTGAAGGAAACATTTCTGATGTGTTAGWGAGGTGGGACCACCACTTCCAGAGGCAGCTGGCCCATCCTGGTAAAAGGGGGAGCTGGTGACGTTGCCCAAGTTTTGAACAGAAGAAGGAAGGTTTTTGGGGCAGAGTTCCTGATCTTGGTGCACAGTGGGGACACAGAGGTGTCCATAGGTAATGCATGCCCGTGGTCCTGGTTTTTGCCTCTTCTTGGCAAACTAGAATCTACCTGCACATCTCCATTGTTTCCTAGATGTTTTAGATGAGGAAACCCGGCTCTGCTGATGCAACATTGCATTGGTGACTGGTCCGATGTAGTTCAGATGAGGTTCCCACCAGCTCCCTTGTTTAACAGACCTCTTCTTTATTAAAAACAARCCCCAAACTCCTCTCTCAGAAAAACCAGCCAAGATGCTCTTTCATTTTCCTCTCTTCCATCTTGTTCCTCTTAGAGGGACTCTGGGAGCCCGTCATGGTGCTTTCACTCTTTCATATGCCAAAGATTGTTACATCCCTCCTAGCTGTGCTTCTGCCAAACCAGATCTTAGAGTCTTGCCTCAAAAATCATCCACTTCCCTGCTCCTTGGGGTTCCTTCTGTTGCTGTTGCTTTTTCATTGAATTTCCGCATGTTTATTGACATGTCTATTGTTGAGCTTCCTGGACACATGCAGCTCGCTTGTTCGGGTGCAGAGAAAGACAAATAGCTGCCTTCCCTGGCCTGCTCCTGCTGCTGGGGAAATACTGCTAGCAATAGGGTTCCTGCCGATGGGGATGGGTCCCGCTCGGCACGAGGGTCAGCACGGTGTGCGCTGGCATTGCTCCACCGGCTGGGCTGGAGTGAGGCCAGCTGTGTCCAGCTGAGAATCTGTCCTTAACGTCTAAACAGTTATTACCCACTAATAAAGATTAATGATTGTAAATCCCCGAGGATTATACATAAAATGGCAAGTTTTAGTCATTAATCTTTATTGCTGTATTATGGCTGTTTATGTCGGAGGAGTCCTCGCTCTCTGTTCCGAGTCTGCGTTTGGAAAGGGGGAACTGAGCGTGGGGGTACGTGAAAGATGGACCTAGCAGASCAGATGTCCACATGTTTTACAGTCTGTGTCCTCCCCGCCAGGTCRGTTCTTTCCTTGAAAGCTGTTATGCAGCAGCAAAGGATGTAGCACAGAGCGGGGTCTGCTCTGCTGGCCTCTGCCGGAGCTATAAAATCCAGATTGTTTCTGGTGAGAAGGGATCAGATCTCCTAATTAATATTTCAGGCYGGCCGTTGCTGGAGCAGATGGATGCTCCGGAGCGTGACGTGTGCTCTGGCAGCCGGGCGCTGCGGTGCGGCCGGGTTCTCTGGAGGAGATGCTCTCCATGCCGCGTGCAGCTCTGCTCCAAGCTGGATGGACGCTGCTCCTTCAGCTGGCCCCACGCTGTAACACTGCGGATTTCCTATGGAAGAGATGCAGAAATTGCTTGTTTGAGTCTCGGCTGTCATGTACTTGCAGATGAGCCTAGGCATGGCTTGGAGATCATGGTGTGGACACAAAGGTTCCTGTTGGGTGCTGGCTGGCACAAGCTGTTTGAACCTGGACGTGTTGCTTGGGGTGAATGGTTGGGTTTGCATGGGCAGCTCTTCCCTTGCCCAGCTCTCCTTTGCTTAAATTTCCTTGACACAGCAGAGAAGCAAAATATCCTGGGAAAGTCACCTGCAGGAGGTCTTCCAGCCAAGGCTGATTCAGCTGCAAGCGCTGCGGGGCTCGTCGGTAGGATCCAGAGGTCAGACGTAAATCACAGGGAAAGCGTAGGAAAGGTCTCTGCAGCTGAGTAAGAAGAGGATTTTATGATTATCTCTAAATAGCCTAATGGGAGCAATGTCCAACTTGGGGGCTGCAAAGAGGAGCTCATCCTTGGAGGATAAGCACCTTCTGGGGGATATTCCTTTGGGCACCATTGCCATAGATTTCCTGGAAGTGGAGCAGCTCCGGAGCCATCCCAGCCTGGCTGAGCTGTGGTTCGGCTGTGCCGGCAGCTCCAGCTCCGTCCCCTTTCTCGAAAGGCTCCRTCTCCCTCCGCCCAATGGCTCCAGAGGCTCTGAGGTGCCGTGAGGATAAGCTGGGAAAAGCTTGGAAGCGTCTTAACCGCTCGGGAAGCGGAGGTGGAGAGCTCGTGCGCTCAGACGGCTTTYGGGAGTCTGCAGGGCTCTGTGGTTTCCCCTGGAGCTGCACACCCAGCCTCGCTCTTGGGTTCCTGAGGTTTGAGACGTTGCTCTCGCTTCTAGGTGCAGCGAAATCCAGCAGCTCAACCGGGGTAATTTTTAAATCAAGAGAAAACACGCACAGCCCAGCAGCGCTGGCCCGCTGGGAAAGCCGCTGTTTCCTCTCTCCTGTAGGAAGAATTCAGGCCAGCTCCGCGCCTACCCTAATCCATTACCTTTTTTTTTTTGCCCCAGATTATTAACRTTTTTATGAGAATCAGAGTTCTTGCTTTTACTTGCACCATCCTGGCCTCAGTGCATTAGTGTGGGTAAAGCCAGACCCTTCRTCTGCCCTAAGCGTCGAGCTGGAATGGAATATCCAGATATTGGAATATCCAGCCTGGAATATCCAGAAATGGGATTTTGCAGGGTTTCGCGGCCCAGTTGCATACTGGATTTTATTTGTTTTATTTTGTATTTTTTTTTTAAAGGATACTGTGAAAAGTCAGAAAGGACCCAGATGTCCTTGATTTCCCCAGCCAGAGTGGAGCTCCATAGCCTGCGTGCCGAGTAAGAGCCAAAAAGGTGTTTTTGGAGAGAAATTGCAGCCTGCCGGGGCTGGAGAATCAGGATCGGGTGTTCTCATGCACCCGTGCAGTGGAAGGAGTGTTTGTTTTTAACAGCAGTATGGTGGGATGAAGCTGCTAAATGCAGCTTATTGCAAACTGGGAATGTGTTGGAGCGACACTTGTCCTTTTTTATGTAAAAAAAAACAGGACAAAAAAAAAAAAAGACCAGTCTAAAAATGCCGTGAATCTTCAGTTTGAGCATTTACAGTTTTATTGGCATGGGCCCATGGTTTGCATCTATATATATGAAGTTTCTAGAGATCCTCTGTTGTGGTGTGAAATCTTCTCTGTCTTGAGTTGGTGGGAAATTTGTAAAAAAAAAAAAGAAAAAAAAAGGCGTTTCCACACACTTTTAGCTGAAAGGGAAAAAAAATAAGAATTGAGCACAATCCAAATGCAACAGCTTCCCTGCAGGCTGCAAGGAATGAAGAGGGCACAGGCAAAGGAGCTACTTAGACCACATTAGTAAAGAGAAGACTTTCCAACCTGTTATAATGCAAGTCCTTTTATTTTATTTTATTTTATTTTATTTTATTTTATTTTATTTTATTTTATTTTATTTTATTTTATTTTATTTTATCTTTTTTTTCGTTTTTTAAAGCAACACCTTTCATTCTGTAACTGTGAAAGCCCCTGCTTTTCCTCACGTGCAGGAAGCTGATTTATCTTTCCCATCTTATTTATTATCGACCCATTAGTGGTACTACCCGCGGTGTGCCCAAGGTCTCCCCAGCCTGCTCCGGAGCCGCGTTCAATCCTYCTCGTATCTTCTGACAGCTGGAACAGCAAGTGTCAGTAGAGGGCAAACTGTAATTATTTTAGATTTTATTTATAGAAATCTCCATTTTTTTTTTCTTGTTTTAAGTGACCTGGTGTGCTGTGGTGTTGAGGAGGGGCRTGAGGTTTTGGTGGTGCTGGCATGGGGAATTTGGCCCTGCCGGCTCTCACTTTTCCCATAGCTTTTCTGAGAAGACTCCTCACGGTGCAGCCCGGCCAAGGGCATCAGAAATTCCCTCCGAAGCAAATCCGGTGGGAGGATCTATGCGTGTTTTGAAGGTGGAGGGAGCAAGCCGACGGGGCTGGAGATGGACGAAGAGTCAGCACTGAAGGAATGTGTCGCATTTTGCCCGTCTCGCACCCTTTTCTGCATCGCTCCCTGCTTGCTTTTCTCGGCTGAAGTCGTGGCCGTAGGGCCCGGTGTGTAATGTGGTCAGAGAGGCTCGTGTCTGAGGTCCCGTTGCGCTCATGGGATGCTCCCAGGCTCTGCATCGTGCTGGATTAGGGACATCCTTGTGACAAGCGAACCGGCCACTAAGCCCTGCCGCCCCAATCCCATCCCTCCACCCCGATGCTCCCAGCAATTGTTGGGAGCTCATATTTAACCTGGAGAGGAGAAAAAAAAAAAAAACAAGCAAAAMCACAATTCCCTACTGGTGGGATAAGCCAACACTCTTTAGTCCGCTTGGATTTTATTTCTCAGGATACCCAAAGGTTTCTTACTGCTGCTGAGAGGAGGGGACGGTGACGCCTTTCGGGAACTGCAACCACTGGAGCCGCCGTGCTGCAAGCGGCCGCCGCGTCCCAGCCGTGTGTTTGCCGTGACTTTTCATACCCACACTTGAAACTCGGGGGCTTGGTTTAAGTGTTCGGAGAGCGGGGCGCCTTTGTAGCGATGGTATGTCAGTGGAATTAAGGAGGATGTACACAAGAATGAATAAATGGACTTTAAAAATAACACGGTGTCAGCGTGTGCGTGTTTACCAGTGTGGAAACGCTGCCTGGGACTGCTGGGAGCACCTGTTTTATTGCTCGTGTTATGCACACGGAGGAATTTTAAGGGTTGTCTGACTTGCAACAGCTTGTYGTGTTTTGGCCATCGCCTTCACTTATGTCTTGCATTAGGCTGTGCATTTGTCATGGTGCAAAGCTGGTTTTTAGCCTTAAATCACTGAGGTCAGTCAAAAGGCATTTTGCTTGAGTGAAGCAGGCTGGTCTGGGTCATCCCAAAACAGGAATTGCTCCCGAGTCCTCATGCAAAAAAAGTTACGCTTCTGTTTATATCTGAATTGCTGAAAACAACACATATCTGCTCCCTCGGCTGACCCTGGTCCCAACTCCAGCAAAAACACTAGGAGCCGAGCTAATGCACTAAGGGATGAGTCAACCAGAAATAACCTGGGTCGTGCGATAACCTCGCAGGGCACAGGAAAGGAACCCGTGAACCRGATTCAAAAGCACCGTGCACCGGCCTCAGCGTTTGCCGACTGCAGAAGGTACCTGGTGCCGGTGGTAGCATGAAGCTCGCCATAAAAACGTCTTAAGAGCAGCAAGAGGCGCAGCACCGTTTCTGGGAATCCGGAGCGAAACAGCTGCTGAGGTCTTATCTGCGCTGCGGTATGTGTGCGCRCTCTGATTAAAAGGAAGAAATTAAGAACCGTACTTTTATCAACTCGAATTACCCTAGTATGTTCAGAATATTTATGTGTTGGTACTTTTTTTTTATTAGAGCTTTATCTCACTGTAATCAATTCCAAATCCAAAAACTATTTTTATCACTGAAATGCAGCAGTAATTTATAAGATGTAGAGGGAACGCACACGGGATGCCAAAAGCAATTTTACAGAGCCTCTTTTGTTGTCATCTACAATGCATCAGTTCTTGCCTTCAGCCTCCCATCATTTTTAAAAGCCCCAGGATGAAAAAATAAAATAAAAAGGAGTAAGTGTGCCGAGGCAGCTGCCAGCCCCTCAAATGGTCGAGCGATATGTGCGTACCTTTGGGACGGCTGTTGATTGAACAAGGCACAGTAATGTAAGCCACGCTGAGCTTTGTAATGCTATTATTTTAGTTGGCAAAGTGGCAGATCTTATTCTCACTGTCTCCGTTGCCTATAAGATAGGATTTCATGTGCGTGCGGAAAAAGGGATGGTGAGATAACACTCGACGTTATCACAACTAAGGTCACATTCGAGTGAGGGAAGGAAGAAACTGAGGAAACKGGTTCCTTGCAGCCGAATGGGGACCTCCAGTTTTCTTTCTATCAGGCAGTACTTGATCAAATATAATCCTTCCTTTGCAGGTTGGATCCATTGCTGGTTGTGGCTAAACATGCATGTTCATGATTTGGGGTTTAAAACTGTATTTCTGTTCTACCCAAGGAAGACACCACTTCTGCTCTCAAAAATGGCCCCAAAATCCCTCCTCACAGAGCCATGTATCACCCTTTTGTCACACCTTTGATCCCCCCTTTGTGGCTCTGCCATCGCGAAGGTACATGGTGTTACACTCAAAGCTCTCTCTTGCAACGATTCATTGGAATATCTTGCATATAGAAATGATGTAGCCTACAGATCTTATAGATGTAGGCACTTATATGTTTGACTTGCTTGCCAGTCCTAATGTTATAACTCATGTGATGAGAGGAATAGACAAATTGGAAGTGTTTTCTGCCRTACAAAAATCATGCCATTTTAATACCCAGTGATTTGGCTTCACGTTGATAATCTTCTGTCAACAGGTTACTATTAAATAAATTATAAATTACTATAAATACTTCTATTAAATTATAAAGCATTAGCAATTGAACAACACTGCACATTTTTATGGAATTATAAATGGGAAATGTGCATCAGGAATGTTAGCAAGACACCTTCTTGTTTGCATGCCACTCACACATCAAAGTGTTTTTGTGGAATAATCATAATAAAATCCCTCTTGAAGGAATCATTACTAAAGCATTTCGCATGCAGATTACTTCAAGCCTGAGCACTGCGCTCCTTGGCTAGGTTAAGAGATGAAAGCCAAGATTTGTTGATTGAGATCAGATGGCTGGTGGCGAGAAGGAATCTAGATGACTTAACTGGAGGGATTAAACTCGAGTCTTTTGGCTTCCATTTGGCTGTTTTATAAACCTCACCACGGGGCCAGCTCGCTGGGCTGGCTTCCCCTTGCCGTCCGTGTGTGATGTTAGAGACAGCCCGTGCTATCAGCCAGTTGATCAGTATGAACAGTGCAGACGTTCTGGGTGAGAAAGGAAAGGASAGTGTCACTGAAAGCTAAAATTAGTCCCCGAAGCGGCTGGTGCTGCACCTCCCGCTCCRCACAGACCTGCTGCTTGGAGCAGCGGCCTCCAGCCTGGCCAGACCCCCTGCTTCCCGGCTCTTTTTCCAGTGTATGCCCAGACAGTGCTGGCATTTTCAAGAGCTCCAGCCCCTTTTCCACCCTCCCTGTCCCTGCTCTCCTGCAAGGTCAGAGAGGCAGGGGCTTCAGATCATCTCGAGATCTTGCGTTCCTCAACCGAGCACCATGGCACGTGGACATCCAGTGCCACGAGCACATCCGTGTTTTTCCCGATCCGTGGATGTTGGCAGTGCCCGGCTGTTCCTCCCTGCCAGCACTTCTGTTGTGAGCATCCARTGATGCACGGGAATGAGGATTTTGTTACTGGCACACCGTGCTTGAGGCCGCAGCCACCACAYGTACCCGCACAGGCACAGATGAAGCTCTGCTGGTTCTCTCTCACAGCCCTAACCTTTAATTTTACAAGCTGATTGAAACCAAGAGTGGAAATTAAAAGTCAGATTTACTCCGTTTTCCTTCCCCTCCCTTCCATTATCTTCTTACTTTTCCATCCATCCTTATTTCACATGCCTCTCAAATTGCATCCCCTTGGTTTTCCAGTTATTTATTGACCTAGACCTAATTCCCTATTTCCAAAAATATGTCATGAATCCTGCCTTTGAGTCATTCTCTTTTTACTTTCCAGGCTCACCTCCTTGACCATGTTTTCCTGTAAGAGATAAGGAGAGGGGATTTGTAGA